CGCAGCGGGCGCTGAAGGCGCCAGGGAGGAGCTCTCCTCTAAGCGAGACATAGCATTCGGGCCGATTCTCAATATTTTGAGAGAACTGGGATGAAAGAGGTGCTTGGTTGAGGGCCTGGCGTGTGTTTTCCCAGCCCAAATTGCCTAATCACCTCCGATCCACGGGGCTAAAGAAATTCGAGTCCACGGAGCCGACACAAAAGCCTATCGCGAGGCGACGGAGCGGCGGCGCCAGAAATCGAGCGGAGCCGCGGTGCTGCCGGCGACGCCTCCGACCACGACGGTTGCCTCTCTCCGGTGAGCTCTCCATCTCCTCTTCCTCTTCCTCTGACGATGGATCCCTGAACCTCTTCGCCCCCTTCCTCCGCCCCGACACGGCGGCTCTCTCCATCTCTCACCTCCTCGTCCTACTACGGCAGAGGCCTCGCCGCCGCGCGCGCACTTCCCCTCGCTGCCGCCATCGAATCGAACCACAGCTTTCCGGCACTGGACACCACGCACTCCGGCCGCGCCCTGTTCTCCTTCTTGATCTCTTCCTCCGCTCCTCCGGCGAACTTCTGCGGAGGAGCAGCTACCACTGCTTCCGGCGTCATCACCCGCGTGGCTTCGTCAACCTCGTCGTTAGAACTCTGGAACTTATCCTCTCCATCGTCACACCCTATCCATCGTTCCGTGCTGGTACCTTTTCTTGTCGCGAGTCCTGACCTACCCCCAAATCCCCAATGCGACTCTAAGCTGCCGCCGTGCCCTCCCTTGGCGTCACCGCCGGCGCCTCCCCCTTCCTCTCCACCTCGGCCTCCCACACGCGTCCCCATTCTACCTCGTCGCGTCCTTGCTGTCTCAACCCTGTCCGCAATTTTTGCCGTTGGTTCCGAGGCATGACCACTTTGTCACCAGTGAGTTAAAAATCACTGACCTTCAGATAATTTTGGCTGTGAGATGTATAGCATGCACATCATCCTGATCCGCCCCTGACTGCCATCATACTATGAGATTTAGTCATGCGTCCACCACTGGGTTTATCCATGTTAAGAGTTGGAATAATGGACACATTTTGATTACATATTCACTGCTATCATCCACTGTTTTCTGGTAACCCCTCATAGCCGGATGAGATGGTTTTGTCCATTAGTTGACACTGCTATTGGCTAGGCTAATCGAATTTTTTACAGTTGCAGATTTTGTCCAAGATCCTGCTTTGCACACGATGCTGCCTTGTCAAGGAATAGCTACTGCAACCGCAAATTCTCAGCTATTTGGATTCCCTGCCGCAAGCCGCTATGGATATCCTGCAAGATCATCGGTTTCTCCTAAACAAGCGTTTCTTAAACTGCGGGCACCGGCACTTCGTTGTGACAAGAAAATCCCCCCTTTGAGAGGTATTCATTTTCTTGCTTATGGATATTTTACTCAGGCACAATGCTGTGACTGTACTCTGAGTTCCTGAGCTCTTGTGAAGGAGCTTTTATTTCTACATCATAAACTAGTGTTAGATAATCTTATATATTTGTCAGCTGAATAAATGTCTGGATATGGTTGGATGTAATCATATTGTGTTTAACTGCTTAATGATACCATTCACTTGGTGGGCCAAGATTTCCTAGGCTTTTATGAGTAACATAGGCTTTTAATATTGCACAATATCGTTGGAGAGCGATTCTTGTCATGATTTTTATGAAAGCTCTTGAACACTTGTTTCTCAAATGATAAAATGGAAGTGCGAAGTTATATTATGGAAGCTTAAATTAATTTCAAGTTCTTTCGCCCTTGCTGGTAAAATAAAGACTGTGATGCTTAAGCTCACTGATAGATGCTATCAATAGAGTATATCAGGGATATACCATATCTTTACTTGCTGAATTATTTCCAAAGCTCCAATGTGCTTGATGGCCCCTGTGTTACTGTTCCTCTAAATATGAGGAAGGATGAAGATTTGGGGGCACTAATCTGTTACTGCAAAACCTTACTACAGTTGTGCCTGTACATATTCACAATGTTGTAGGATTGGCATTATATTGTTAGTGATACATGAAAAAAAATATTAGACTTGAAAGGAGAAGTTTCTAGCACAGTGCAGTTAAATTGTACATAATGCATGCATTGACAGTATCAGGCCTGCAGATCATGTCATGTCTATTGTCTTTATAAAGTTACAAGCAAATTATTTCATATTAACTCATAGTGGTATCTTGAAATTCAACTTGCATTACAAGTATACAGATGTATAGTTATCGTGAATACAACTTCCACATTATTTTATATTGGCTCTTTCCTGAACATTGAATACCATGTGCTAACTTTACTTATGAATATTTGGGAATCTAAATTATATTTATCCATAATTGATATTATGCTAACCTTTGCCTTACAAGATATTTCTTACTTTCAGCTTGTTTTGATTTTTCCGCTCGTGCCGTATCGTCATCCCTTGCAAAGTGTGATTCTGTAACGGGCAACAACCCCTTCAAGCCATTGCCATCAATCCGCAGCTTGCACCCAAGATCTCAAGTTAGTTGTCAGGCATCTTTAGCGTCTTTCAGCTACCCTGAGCTATCTTCTAAACCCAAATGGTGGTGGAGGACCCTGGCATGTGTACCTTATCTTCTGCCGCTGCACAACATGTGGTCGCACGCAGATGCTGTGTACCAGCTCCATCCATACTTGCAACAGTTTGGGCTGTTTTATGCCTTCATTGATACAATGGCACTAGTCCCTGGATGGCTATTCCTGATGATCTTCATGACTGTCTACTTCTTTGTGGTGAGACGGAAGTGGTCGCCGCACTTTTTGCGCTATCACATCATATTGGCCATTCTTCTTGACACGGGCTCCCAGGCTCTGGCGACCATGTGCAACTGGAATCCAAGCATCGTCTTTCAGGGTAAACCAATGGCGTATTTCTGGATGACACTGGCCTTCATTCAGATCTTCACAGTTGTCGAGTGTATGAGGTGTGCCCTTTCAGGAATGTATCCTAACGTTCCATTCATATCCCACACAGCGTTCATCCATTCTGATTTGAACCTGTTCAGGTAATTGGCTAGTGCAAATGTGCATCTGGAAATGTAAGAGGGGTTAAGGAACCGTGTGTGAGATAGAGAACTAGCTGAGGAAAAAATGGTTTGGAAGTGTATTTTGGGACATAAGAAGGGGATGCAAGTATATGCAATCATCACGGGTAATTGTAGTAGCTTCTCAAGACTCTGCAGTGTTGACAGTGTTATACTGCATGTTTTCATGAAGTTCCAGGGGACACCTGACTTTAAATTTTGTGTGTGGCTTGGTTTGTAAACGACAAGCAATTCGAAATGATGTTTAATTTGGCCAGTATGCTTATGTTGGAGCTCCTAAGTCTATTCTTCCTCTTATTGTGTTTCCTTTGAGCTGTTCAGCCATTTAACTCTGGCAATCTTAGAATTTCGAGAATGGCATGTTAAGCCGTTCACTATGGCATAATTGCTTCTGAACACCTTTGGTAAATGACCACCATGCCATAATTACTGGAGGAAAGTGTAATCAGTAGAGGTGAAGGTGTACTTGCAGGGATCTAAGCCAGTTACTGGAGGAAAGTGTCATAATTACTGGATCCGGCTTGCCTGCTTCCTCCCTGTGCTCCCATTCGTGCTCCCACTTCATCCTACGACTGTCTTTTTTTTTCTTTCTAATCTAATCATCTTTCCTCCTGATTTTAAGGGGGTGGGGCCGGACCTTATTTTGTTCCAATTAAATAAAGCCACGTAGACGGGAGCACGGATGGGCACACGACGGGGAGCAGACAAGTCTTGTCCGTACTTGCAGGTTGCTTATTTTGCCGCCCCTTAAATGAAGGCTAGAATCTGCCGCAGCTAATACAAAGCTATTACAAGTTTTTGCAGGACACAGGCCCAGATATGTTGTTGTAGTTGTTTTGAAGTTGAAACCGAGATGAGTTGGTGTATTAATCTGGACCGTACATCAAATTAGAGTTGAATAAATTCAGATATCCCATGGTTGACGCCTCACGTTTTCTCGTATGTTCAGAATCATCACGATATTATAAAGAAAAGAAGTTAGCTAGCCAAACAAGATTTTCATAATCCACCACACATGAAGTCTAAGTCACCTCTCTATGTAGTGTGCTGTAATAACTATATTTGGATAGCTTATACTATTGTGAAGATCTACAGAGTTACAAAATCAAAATGTTGTACAATTAGATTATCTTGCCACTATATTTGGCTGTGACATTTGCCAGAAAAGTAAAGTCAATTTCATTTCGCTCAGGTACTCTCCTTTAGCTATGGCTACAAAACGGAAACGTCGAAAAAGCGTATGAATGAAGAGAATAAATCGGATTGCCGCAACTTGATGCTCAATAGCGCTGCTACCCCTGCTATTAGTTCAACAACCCTGTATTTCTAATCTCAGTCCTCAGACTTTCAGATCAAGCTCAGACTGCGATGACAGTATGCCGTGCTTCTGTGTTTTCTCGCTGATTGGTATGTAAACCTGCCGCTCTTTGCCTCCTGGTTTGGACGACGCATACCCATACCAAATCATGCCAATAACAGCTATGGTCATGCCGAGTGCGACATGGAAATTAAGGCCCTCTTTCCCGAAGAAGAAAAAACCCAGGGTCAGCACAAGAATAGTCTTCATGTGGCCTAGAACTTGAAACGAGACAGCTGTGAATCGTCCGATGCATATGAACTGGCTTAGATTGGTACCAACAGCAATTATGCACGACAATACAATGAAGAACTGAAAAAAGAGTGAAAAAGGAAACATTAGTCCCCAGTTTACTCTGGTAAAAGTATTTTAGGTCACACAACTATCAACCAAGAGAACGGTTACAAACCAAACCATGTTTCCCATGCTCATATCCTAGAATTTCAAGTAACTGGAGTACTTTATATATGAAACATTACTCTGCCATTGACAGTAGAACTTCACTAGCTATTCTAAATCAGGCATACTTGACCTATATGCTTCTATATTATTTGAAGCAGCTCCTGTATTGTAATGACATATTTTAGCATTTCAAACGGCATCACATGTTAGCTTATGAAATACTATTTAGAGGGTTGATATGTACGATCTGTTTCTGTAAGATCTGTTTACTTCACAATAATCAAGAGGAAACAAATATACACAAAGATGACTACTGAGAGTGACATTTTCTGTACTGAACACTAGATTATACCTGGGATAATACAGAACTGAAAATCATATAGATTGCAGTTACCCTCATATCAAACATCACTTCTCAGCAGTAATATATTCATAGTGACAGACATGTTATCCTAATCCCGCGATGATCATTAAAAGCCTACAGATATAAATTATAATGCTACAAGAACTGGCGAGGACTAGATAAGTTTCTGATGCAACAAATTTATAAAGAAATAAGAAACAAACTGATTCAGAATAAAGCATCACGTACCGTAACTACCATGGTATAATCAAAAGTATCAACTCTTTTGTCAGTCAACCATAAATCCACAAAAGGACCAAGTATTAACAACGACGCTGCCTGAGCAGGAGCAGTATGACCCAAGAGGTTGAATGAGCCAAGCGAGTACTTCCGTTGAAGATGATGAACATACTGCAGGAAAAAAAGAAGGGTAGATACATCACATATCCCATTAGGACAAGGCCTGCTAGGAATGCGCACAAACAAGGTACAAATTCAAGCACCCAGGATACTCACATGCTGTTGTAGTGCAGTGCTCCAGACTGCTATTATTGCAGCTATCAACCCTTGAGAGTTCACACTAACATCAGTTACAGTACACACAGCAACGCCAACTAGGACAAGCATTATACTGAGCTTTGTATCTCTTGAGTAACGAACTTTGTCAAAGAGGATTTCTAGAAAACACAAAACTGGAATGATACACAACTTGGCAATCTGAAACAGCAGAAAGTGCAATTTAGTATATGCATTACATTCTAAAATTGAATAGAATTTAGTTACTCTCTTCACCTGATAGAATCCAACAGAGTTCCACATCAAGCTAACATTCATCCCAACAATTGATAAGTTTGCAAAGAAGACAAATTTTACTAGTTCTGGCAATGGTAAGTAGGATGGCTGAATATATCCCAACCATTTCATTACTGATGTCATCAAGGTCGTGGTTAGGAAATGCAGCCCAGTTAACGTTGTAGCTGTACAAGCAAACCATGGCACACAACATTAGTAGAAGAAATCTGATACATTTGCTGCATAACCACAGTAAGTTATAGATCAGTGATAACACACGTGAAGTTGAATGTCTGAGCATTGTCTCACCAAAACTAAAACCATGTGTAGCCATTAAGGCCTTGTTGGCCATGATTATACCAACAGATGTCACAACATTGAACATCCATGCTCCAGCATCTAATGCAGCTTTTCTCTCTGCCTTGCTTCCTGGTGCCACACCCATACTTTCTTGTCATGTAGGGTGTAATCCAATTTTCTAAGTAGTGGAGAGTGCACCTTCAGTAGCAATTGCAATCAAGACATTAGTTTGATAACTACATGAGTATAAATAAAACTCAGCATCCCACAAAAATCTTAAGGTCCCAACTTTTGTTTTCGAAGATTTGTTAATATTAGTATAGAGAAGCTCCCTGATGTGGTGTATGTGAAATGGAGTTCAAGAATGGATGCATGAACTTTGATATTAAGACCACAAGTGAGGCCTGGAAAAGATACAAATTGCACACTAAACAAATAAGGCACATGGCATCAGTACAAAGTAACTAGCACCAGCAATTTATTGGAGAGTCCATATCATATTGTAGCTGGATCTGTGACTTTGTAGCTTTATAAATTTAAAGCCTTCGAAGAGAGCTAAAATAAGTGAACTGCACAAGTGGTGTATAATACGACAAAAGAAAACCAGGAGGTTAATCCACTACATGTAGCAACATATGGATTATTGCTCCAGCACGCCAATTCAAGACGATAGATGACTCGATACAAAAATATACTTTTTCGGCAGCAGAGCTGATCCAATTCATGAAATTTGTCTAAAACCTACTGATTTCTAAAAACATGAAGTTGGTTATAAATGATTAAACTTCCTCACATAAATGGCATTTAAGTTTAACAGGTCGATGGTGCATTACGCAACGAACACAGGGAATCAGGACCTAACACAGGGCATGGGGGCTCAGTTGAACCCCCGATTTCTCTTGAGGATGAACTGCAATTAGTACTCTACTATGCAGAAAACACATCTGCACCGAATGGTGGATCGGAGTGCCCAATCCAGAAAGAAAGTTAGGGTTCGTCACCTACAAAAGAAATCAATCCATTTCCGAGTAGATTTCCGCTCCACGCCTGTCCAGTGGAGGAGAGGTGGAGAACGGCGGCTTTGAGACCAGAATTCCTTCGAGGTGGCCCGCTACGGTGGAAGGAGGCCAGTGTTCGGGGGAGAGGGTTCGGCGACGGTGGCCTGGGTAGAGGATTCGACGAAGGTAGCCCGGGGGAGAGGAAAAGGAAGGAATGAAATGAAGTCTGGAGGAGTGAGGGCCTGAGCGAAGTATTTTTCGGTTTTTAGGAATGTGGATGTAAAAGGAGAAACTTGTAGGGCCAATTTTATAAGTTTATCACTACAGAGTTAGAGTTTTTTTTTATTTCATTGAAGAAAGGAGATCTATTTATTAAACCGGGTGAGTCTGATCTGGAATGCATAAGTTTACAATCTCCTATGTGCCGGACCTTAACCACACCGTTATTTTAGGGCTAGTGCGTCCCATTGTCATCAATTCACGGTTAACTACATTCTTATCACGCCTCATAGATGTGATTTCAAACGTTATACCCCTGGCTAGCATGCTCCTCACCTCCTGATCTAGGATAGCCATGCAGACTTGTTTATTTCCGTCTGCCTAATCATATTGCGGCAATAAAGCCATCAGTTTCCATAATGTAAGGTAGAGTGCTCCACTCAATCGCAATGTGAGGCCCTCCTTGCATGCTTTCGTTTCTGCTTTCAGGGCACTTATCCAGCTGAACAAATGGCGGAAAGACAAGAACACGGTATTTCTTGTGATGTCTATAAGAATCATGCCTGCACCATCGTTACCTTCAGACTCGGGGTATGCGTCGTCCACATTTAGTATCAACTAGCCCATAGGCGGTGACTTCCATCGTTCTGGAGGGTGACATTGGGGTGCGATCTTCCTTGAGCTAGTGCGTGAACCACTGCCATACGAAATCACCATCTTCTCTTCTGCAACATCGACCATCTGGTATTGTTGATGCAAAGCAACGAGCCGATGTAGCTCCCTAGAAATCGACACGGCGCCTCGATGGGGTGCAAGCATGAGAGAACCACTCCATTCCTAATGTACCATGACCACCACAAAATCATGGGCAGGGGAGCCACTCGTCTTCAATGCATGTGCCGTGATGAGGTGTAGTAGCCATTCGTGCTTGGTGGGGACGGCATTCTTCAGATGCGGCTTCGTCCTGTCATGCGTCATGGCCTCTCAAAAGCCCACTACCAATGGGTATCTGTAGAAGACATGGAAGGAGTTCTCTCGTTCCATCCCGTAGACATGATAAATGTTAGAGACCTCGAGATATTGTTAAACTTTGTTGTCCATAGTGGAATTAGTTGCTAGCCTCCCAGAGAACATGTGTACCTTGGGAGGGGGGAAGGGCAACCCCACAATGCCTTCTAGACAGCACGACGACCGTCTAATGCCTTGGTCGTGGCGCACATATATATAGAGGTGCGAAAATGCTCCTAGAGAGCGAGTCGATATGTCAAACGGGAGGTGAATACTCCATTCAGCCCACGCCACGACATCCTCATACCTAGGGTTAGCTAGGTCTAGGGGTTTCACTCCAGCATCTCGATCATTTTCAGGACCCTCCCTTCTAATGGGCTTGCATGTACGTAAAAGGATAAAAATTATGACATCATCAAAGTTCCTCCCATATTCCAAAAAATCGAAAAAATATCTATATATTCTATTTTTAAAGGACTTTTATTACTCAATAATCGATATTGCAATCATGTTTACATAAACGAACAACGTCGTCTAGGCCGGACACAAGCCAAATTGCAGTCTGGCACTGAAATCTACCAAAGTTTGCCATATAATGGCTAGTATTATTTCGATAACGTCATATGTGAGTAATACAAGTTCTTTAGCCCTTCACACGATATTTGATCTCATGGATGAGGAGTGCATTTACGCTCCACACTTTTTCTCATGTTATTAGCTTCTAGGCAATGAGATTCAGTGTGAATGTCCAAGTGAAAATGAAAGTTATCGACCAGAGGGGGTGAATGGGAGATTTTTAACAAATTATTCAAAGATCCGAGTTCTTTGAAGAAGAACAACACGAAGAATAACTGAACAGAAGATAGACTACAATATGCATGCAGATCAGAGTAGCGACAAAGTCATCATGACGAAATAGAACATGCATAGAAAGTAATTGATCATACAAACATGCAAGAATAAAGTAATATGAATTAAATAATGCAAAACTGGAGACAAACAGAACAAGGCATGAACTGATGAAATTTTGAAAGTTTTCAGACAAAGTCTTCAAGAGGAGGGAGACAAACTCTTCAACACATACGCGGAAATTAAGGAGTTGAAGAAATAGAACTAAATTGCTCGATGAAGACAATGGATTTGTTTGACCAATACCAGTTGCCGCGACAACTGTACATATGGTTTTGGAGGCTTGAGATTTAACTCGGAAGACACATAGTCTTCACCTTATTCCTCTTAAGCTAAGTCACTTAGACCTCGCCTAATAACTCATGGTAAGTCTTCAAGGTATACTTCCAAAACCTTCGCAGACTCGTCCTATGGCACTCCATAAATTATTCTTGGGTGCTCAGAACATGACGTCTAACCGTCTGGAAGATCACAATATTCTAAGGTAACAAGCATCAGATCACACAGGAAATCTCCTTAGTGGTGCTCAATCACTTTTGCTTTGGGTGTATGGGTTTGTCCTCACTTAGGATTCTCTCAGATTCGTCAAAGGATGTGTTGCTCTAGTTGATGTTGGAAATATGCCCTAGAGGCAATAATATTTGTATTATTATATTTCCATATTCATAATTAAAGAGTTTATATTTCATGCTATAACTGTTATGATCCTGGAATATGCTATTCAGTGGAAAACTCATATGCACATGTGGAATGATAAACGGTAAAATAAAAGGTTCATAGTCTCACCTCTAAGACTAGCTCAAGTTTTGTTGGTGATCACATTTTCCGGATCTTACGATATCGTTAAGTGTAACAATGATCCCAAAACAACATTGAGATTATGACGTTGGAAGAACGATCATATTGAACCGACCCAATCTTGTTTGTCATGAATTGAGTTAATATCGTCTACATTCAATTGTAATAACACGGAGTGTTAACTTGTGAAATTGCTCCTTAGACCATGAGGGTATCATGATCACTTCTTACCGTACAGTGGGCTTTGGGGTTGCTCAAACGTCACTTGTAACATGGTGATCATAACGACAACTTACAGGATCATCAAAAAGTTTGACAAGTGATCGGATAGCTCGACAGTGGGATTTGCTCGATGATGGAGAGATATTCTTAGGGCCCTCTCGGTGTGACGACATCAATTATCGTTTGGCCAAACACACAATAATGAGAAAGAAGAACAAAGTCGGTAATGAGGATTTCAGTATAACGAGCATAGTGACGACTCAGGAGGATACCGATGCATCCAGGGTTTTGTGAAGTATCGCAAAGCAAAGGGAAAATCACATGATAACCAAAGTTTCACTCGAATACCATTCATGTGCTCATAGGGACCGATACAAACGTCCACGGTCTCATTGTCGGTCATTGAACGAACGGTTTCGTTCATGTCTATGAGTTACTGAACCTATAGGGTCACAAGCTTAAGGCAATCACGATCTGCTGAGTGATAACCCACAAGTGTAGGGGGTTGCAACAGTTTTCGAGGGTAGAGTATTCAACCCAAATTTATAGATTCGACACAAGGGGAGCCAAAGAATATTTGCAAGTATTAGCAGTTGAGTTGTCAATTCAACCACACCTGGAGATTAAATATCTGCAGCACAGTGATCAGTAGCACAGTAATATGATGGTTTTGATAGCAGCAGTAACAATAATTGTAATGGTAACAGTGGTAGCAATGATTTTGTGGCAAGTGTAACAGTAACAGCAGGAGTAGTAACTTAGCAAGAACAATAGGTGGAAAACTCGTAGGCATTGGATCGGTGAATTCGTTGGATGATGTAGGATCAAAAGTATGTCTATAGCGGGTGATTAGACTACTTGACCAAACAATAATCTATCCTTTTCCCAATTTTAAGTCTTGGCAGATTTTAACAACTTAGCACAAGTCAAGCAATCAACCTACACATGCAAGTCTAAGAGTATAGCAGTGGAATGTAAAACATTGCACATG